TCTAAAAAAAAAAAAAAAACTGATTATTTTCACCACAATGCTATCCTCAACTCCTGGTCACCTTAGCCCAACGTCTGTGTTATCACTTAAAGGTCTCAGCTTTCTCACATGGAGAAAGTGGGCCCGGATAATTTTCCTAATTCCAAAGATACAGGCTGGTAACAGGGATTTGTAAGGAGAAACTTGGCTTTGTCCAAAAATTGTACCAAGTCTGTTGTGTGCAACAGACCCATTTCCAGAACCCCATTAGTTATGCAGGTTTGGGTTTATGTGATGGTGGTTTTGTGCTCAGATTCTGAACTTTTACTGCCAGGAATCATTGGACTACGTCCATGTCTTTGGAGAAAGAGATTCTAACTCTGATTCTGGTGGTTGGTTGGCATTTCAGAGGTCTGTGTGACTATCCAGAAACTGTACATCAAACTGTTGATCTTGGGATTTCACAGGCTAGCCAGAGGATTGACATTCTGATTAAAGAGGCCAGGGACCCCAAAAGATTGAGAATCACAGATAGAGATTATTGCACATTCACACCTATCTCAGACATTCATTCCAAACTCTCCTGATGCTCTACTGACTGAGTCACAAAGGATGGCTAAACAGCTAAAAGCCGAGCTTAAATGTAGGATAAACATCACAACAGTAAAAGTAATCAAAACTGAATCAAGCTGAAACTATAGAAAGAAAATCCATGGCATTTAATTAGATTGCATTTTATTCAGATAAATGAAAATTTGCCCCCAAACAGAACTAGGGAAGCAAATAATATTGTTTCAGATCAGAGGTAATTGCTAATCTCGAAGTTTACATGGAAAGCTAGAATTTCCAGCCCTTGACTATCTGTAGTTCCAAACATCAGGAAAATACTGAAACTTATCTATGTACAGAGTGAGGCAACTCATGGGTACCATAAGCAAAATAACCTGACGGGAACATTTTATATTCCTCAGTTGCAAGAAGTGGCACATGTTTATAAGTCTTGCATCACTTTCCATTGTACATGGCTCCACATTAATACCAAAAATAGCAAAATTTAGGCACTTGCTCCAACTTCTGCGGTTTACATTTGGTTACTATGCACTTCATAAATTAACAGCAGCTTTAGGATTACAAAACAGAAATTGTAGTTTATGCTGTCAGTGTTCTTAATAAAACAAGGTTGCTCTAAGAACAGACACAGGGCATGTACAGAAGTAACCCAGTCCACATCCAGATATTAATACAAGCAGCAGAGTCATGAAACACCCACTGGAAACCCCCATCGTGATGGCCAGAGTGACCCCGTCACAGGTGGTAAGACAACACACAAGAAGATGAAGTGGCAGGATGGAATTTAAATAACAAATCTGTTTTCTACAAACTACACAAATCTTTTAATCTGTTCAAAAGAGCACAAAATTTCTTCTGGCCATAAAGAGTGAGTCAGTGGATGTGAATACTCTACAAACTGCTGTAATCTCAATACTTTTTAGCTCATCTTTATCTCTCTTTTTGGTAGTTTTGGCCAGGACCAGGCTCGAACCCACCACCTCTAGTATAAGGGGCTAGAGCCCTACTCCTTGAGCCACAGGCGCTGCCCCGCTCATCTTTATCTTAAATCCAGAACTTGGATATAAGTTTCAGTTAGCCAAAAAAAAAAAAAAAAAAAAAGGAAAAAGAATTTAGAGGTTTGTCAAATTTGGGGATTTTAACGTTTAGTAACCAAGCACAGGTGGCTATTATATGTATTTGAGAATAACGCCTAAAAGGTATTGAATGTTTTTCAAGTATAAGCATATATACAACTGTTCTCAGAAGGTATCTTACGAATATGGCCATTTTTACAGTCAGGTTTGTTAACACAAGAGAAACCACTTTGAATTTTTTTTTTTTTTTTTTTTTTTTTGAGACAGAGCCTCAAGCTGTTGCCCTGGGTACAGTGCCGTGGCATCACAGCTCACAGCAACCTCCAACTCCTAGGCTGAAGTGATTCTCCTGCCTCCACCTCCCAAGTAGCTGGACTATAGGCGCCGGCCACAACGCCCGGCTACTTTTTGGTTGGAGCCATCATTGTTCTTCGGCAGACCCAGGCTGGATTCGACCCCGCCAGCTCAGGGGTATGTGGCTAGTGCCTTAGCTGCTTGAGCCACAGGTGCCGAGTCACCACTTCGAATTTTAACAGCAAATTTTCTCTCCGCTAGAAGCAAGTTTCCTAGAGTTATGCTTTAAGCATCATTAATTGGCAGTTGAAATTTAAATTCTCAAACTGGACTACTGAGTCTGAGTGAAATGTAAGAAGCTACATGCCGGGCCAGTTGTACATGTGAAAAAAAACTCTACAGTAGATAAGTGACAGACTGTTCTGTGTGTGTGGCAATTCTGTGACAAAATCCTTTATGGATGAAACATAACTCACCATTCTGACATTTAAGAAACTCTTCCAAAAAAAAAACTTTTCCAAAGTCACCTTTTGTTTTAAGCAAAGCATTTTTACTAGTAAGCTATCTTAAAATTTCTCTCTCAAGACGTTTATCATTGTTTGAAACCAAAAATGTTAACACAGAAAACTTTTTCAGGAATTACCAGACAGTAAAATTATAGAAGTATCAACCTAAAAAGGTACTGTTTTATTCCAGCAAAAACATCTAGGCCATGACTCCCTCCAAACATCCAACTCAAATCAATGTATAGTGCTATTTCCGGGCCAGGCCCAGTGGCTCACGCTTATAAGCCCAGAACTTGGGAGGCAGAGGCAGGTGGATTGCCTGAGTTCACAGGTTCGAGACCAGCCTGAGCCAGAGGGAGACCTAGTCTCTAAAAATAGCCAGGTGTTGTGATGGGTGCCTGTAGTCCCAGCTGCTTGGGAGGCTGAGGCAAGAGAATTGCTGAAGCCCAGGAGTTTGAGGTTGCTGTGAGCCATGAGGCCACAGCACCCTACCAAGGGTGACAAAGTGAGACTGTCTCAAAAAAAAAAGTGACATTTCCATGTACTGACTACAATGGAAAGTTCCAGCTTATCAATCATTATCTTATTAGTCTAATGCAGTAAACGTATGTCCCAGGATTTCTAGTATCTAAAAAAAACAGCAAATCTAAGTGAAGCAAATACTTTATTTAAATTTGTCATCAAATCACAATTTATCCAAATAAACATAATGCAACACTGTTCTTAAAAGAATGGGCACAAATATGGCACAGACACAATTCAGAATCTATCAAAATACCATTTGTAAGAACCTGACTTATTTTGTGCTGTAAATGTGGTCCAGCATAAAAGAGGAGAATCAAAAACTTAACAACAGTCCGTTTTTTTCTTTGTAACATGAAAAACATTTCACTACTTTACCTCAGTATTAAACACATCCATCGGACTAAACCACTGAAAAGTAGGAGAAAAGACTTAAAAGTTAATCTGCTACTGGAGATTCTTTCCAACGTTCCCTGGGATAGAAGGAAAAGTTTCATAGTGACAGTGGAACATTCTGTATGTTTAAAATGCTTTTTTATTTTTAGTACACTGTGCATAATAGGAAAGTGACCAATTTCAGAGCGCTTTTCAACATGGACCTAATCATTAGTGAATTTTAAAATAAGGATTGTACCTTCTGATCAGGAATGTTATTTCTAGGAGCTTTCTATTTTTCTCAGGTTGAATGAGGCTTAAAGCTCCCCAAGCTTCACCAGGGCTGCATGCCCTGTCCTCATGTATTGGGACATACAAGAGGCATGTACTATCCTGCACATCTCCTTAAACATCAGGAAAAAAATATACAATAGATACAGAAGGGGGATTACTTAAAACATACATATAAATACATACAGAATGATACTCCAGTTTGCGAAGCAGAACTAGGTATTGCCAACTCCAGTTCCAGGGTAAGAATTTAGAACCTTAAATCAGAAACATTATATGGTTATCAAGGGAAAATAATAGGGTGGTCTTGAAAAGAGGCAATGGTATACGGCTATAGCTCCTGAGAAAACCTCAGGATTGTCAGGGGCTCTCTAGAAACGAGATCAGTTCGTGTGCCTGCCCTCCGGTCCACCAAGTTCTGAAATATTGGTTTCGAGTCTCAGCAGCGGTCTTCATGTTCTTCTACTACTTGTCTTCACATTCCGGTCTTGCAAAATGACAGTGAATTTAACTGTAGAAGGAGTAAGAATCAGAATAAATAACATCTCCTTTTACTTGTTTATTAACAGAACAGTTTTGAAAGTGAACTACAGCTACTAAAAAGCCCAATAATGCCACAGTTTCACTCCATTAAAACAAAGAAACAGGCCAGGCACGGTGGCTCACACCTGTAATCCCAGCACTCTGGGAGGCCCAGGTAGGAGGATTCTTGCTTGAGATCAAGAGTTCAAGACAAGCCTGAACAACAAAGAGACCTTGTGTGCACTAAAAATAGAAAAATTAGCAGGGCATCATGCTGGCACCTAGAGTCCCAATCACTTGGGATGCTGTAGCAATTAAGATCACTTGAACCCAGGAATCTGAAGTTGCTGTGAGGTAGGCTGATACCACAGCACTCTAGCCTGGGAAACAGAATGAGACTGTCTCTAAACAAACAAACTAAGATAGGTGGTCAGGTGTAGTGGCTCATGCCTGTAATCCCAGCACTTTGGCAGGCTGAGGGCAGGAAGACTATTTGAGGCCAGGAGTTCAAAACCAGCCTGAGCAAGACAGAGACCCTTTTCTCTATAAAAAAAAAAGGAAAGGAAAAATTAGACAGGTGTCGTGGCACACAACACCGCTAGTCCCAGGCGTATTTGGGAGGCAGAGGCAGGGTGATTGAGTGAGCCCAGGAGTTTGAGGGTCCATACTGAATTTTGCTATGCTGCCACAGAAATGGGGGTTGTGGTTCTCTAACCCCATTGGGATCAGTCATCATATGCATTGGAAAATTCCCCCAAACACTTGTAAACTACCCATCGGGGGGGGGGGGGGAATACCCATTTTCCTCCTAAAAAGCTATAAATGATGTGTTGGGGGTTTTTTTGAGACAGAGCCTCAAGCTGTCGCCCTGGGTAGAGTGCCATGGCATCACAGCTCACAGCAACCTCCAACTCCTGGGCTCAAGCGAGTCTCCTGCCTCAGCCTCCCAAGTTCGGGACCCGCCTGCGCCCACCACAATGCCCAGCTATTTTTTCGTTGCAGCCGTCATTGTTGTTTGGCAGGCCCAGGCTGGATTCGAACCCACCACCTTGGTTGTATGTGGCTGGCGTCTTAGCCACTTGAGCCACAGGCACCGAGCCTATAAACGATGTTTTAAACAGTCTGATATAAACCAACTTTTGGCAGCCAGGTACAAAAAAAAAGAAAAAAAAAATACAACAAACTAGTGGGTATGGTGCTGAGTGAGCATGATGTGCTTCTCATGCTTTTGAGCCAAATACACACTTGTGCCCCTTTATTTTCTTTTAAAGCAGTCCCAGTAAGGGTAAAATGAAGCCATTATTTTTGTAACATCAGTAAAACTAAATGGTATTTCAGTGACAAAAAAGAAACTGTCCTAAATCTTTTTGTTTAGTTGATAAATATTTCTGCAACTGAAGATTCTATATAAAATGATAATTATTTGAGGTCTGGGTGTGGTGGCTCACGCCTGTAATCCTAACACTCTGGGAGGCCGAGGCAGGTGGATTGCCTGAGCTCAGGAGTTTGACACCAGCCTGAGCCCAAGTGAGACCTCGTCTCTAAAAATAGCTGGATGTTGTGGCGGGCGCCTGTAGTCACAGCTACTTGGGAGGCTCAGGTAAGAGAAATCGCCTAAGCCCAGGAGTTTGAGGTTACTGCGAGCTGTGACACCACAGCACTTTACAAAGGGTGACAAAGCGAAACTGTCTCAAAAAAAAAATCAATTATTTGAGCTCCCAATTCCTTTATAATAAATTGGCCACCTAATGACATATAAGAGGAAAAATACCACCTTAGAAAAAAGTAAGCTTACTTACATGATGTTTTAAGATTCTTGAAGTTCTGGCTTTGCTGATTCCCTCTCTTGTTTCTCTGTCTCCTCCTGTGTTTGGGTTTTGATCTCTTTATCTGACTCACTGAGCACTTTTCCTTCCTGTAATTCTGCTTCCTGGGCATCCTCCTCTTTTCGTGTCAGTCCATTTGTATCTGAGGACTCTTTGGTTAAGTCTCCTGAGGTGTAAGTATCTGCCAGGGCTGAGCTTGGGCTCTCATGGTAATCAACAGCTTCACCTTTTTCATCTTCTTTGGATTCAAACTGTGACTTCTCTATTCCTTCTTCTAACACAGCACCACCATCATCTTCTGGCATAGACTGTGTTCCAGTTCCATCTCCTGCTTTCTCGGATGGGAGAAGTATTTCTTCAAGCTGCTGGTCATTTACACTGGAGCTCTCTACTTCAGTGGTCTTTTCTGAAGTGTCGCTCACATCTCTGGAAACATCAGAATGCACTGGTCTCCCGGCACTCAGCTCTGCCTCCTCTTTGACAGCACTAGTTTGGGTTTCATCCTGTGCAGGAGCCTTCCATTCACTCTCTTCTTTCTCTGTTTTCTGTCCAGCTCCCTGGCTCTCGGCTTTCACCAGGTGAGCCTGCGTCTGCAAATCAGATGTCAATGCTTCGATGGCTGTCTCTTCTGTATGTACAAACTGGTCAACGGCAGTCTGAATTACGTTTCTGACGAGTTTACTGCTCTCAGTCTCAAGTTCCAAAACCTCATCACCAGCCTTTAAATCTTCCTGCCTTGCTACACTCACTCTGACTTCCTGGTATTCATCCTGCTCACTGACTTCATCTGACTTCCGTTTCAGTGATGTGGTTTTCTCTCCTTCCAGGTCAGAACATAAGCTTTTTTCACTAGTGGCAGATGTTATTTCTGTTATTGATTCTGCCTGAGACCCGGGCCCTGTAGGCTCAGCTTCTCCTCCTGGCAGAGCTGTGAAGTCTTCATCTTTTTCAGTGGGTTTCTCTTCCAGTACTAAATGTGCACCTGCAGACTCCAAAGTTTCAGCCATCTCTAAAATTTTGACAGCTTCTCCTAAAACTTTCTCCTCCACCATTGCAGCGGATAGAGTTAATGATGCCTCAGAGCTCTGACCTTGAACTTCTGTGCATATTGCCTCCTCTTCACCTAGGCAAGGAACAGGGCTTCCTTCCACATGGCTAACTTCCTTCTCCCCATCCATGACAGTCACATCAAAGGTCTGAACCAGTTGCACGCTGACCACTTCAGATACACTGGGTTCTTCAGATATGCTAACAGCTGTTTTTTGCTCAAGTTTCTCTTCGCTCACTTGGGCTGTTTCTGCTTTAACTTCATCCTCTTTAACCTGAACTACCATCTCCCTCTCCATTGGGGTTGGGAGAGATTCCCTTTCTACCTCATCTACCATCTCTCTCTCCACTGGGGTTGGGAGAGATTCCCTTTCTACCTCAAATACCAGCTCTCTCTCCACTGGGGTTGGCAGAGATTCCCTTTCTACCTCAACTACCATCTCTCTCTCCACTGCGGATGGGAGAGATTCCCTTTCTACCTCAAATACCATCTCTCTCTCCACTGC